ATTTGTGTATCTTTTCTACTAACTTTAAAGTTTGTTCACGATGTGTGTCACGCTTAGTTTCGAAGCTTTAACAATTTCATTTCACAGTTTCTGCACAATTTTTACCCCTCAAACTTAACAATAAATTCTAATCTAGAATTCTAGAAAACAAACTGTAATTTTCAACAACAAATCACACTTCAAGCATTAACAACAAATTCTAATTCTAAGAAAACACAGCATTTTCTTACTTGCAAATATCAATGCAAATTATAAATGCGAACCTAAAGTTGTAAATTTACCAAATAAGATCAACAACATCAAACAACTTTAACCACTTCACAATTGCAAAATGTTCTATTCAAACAAATTTTCAACAAAACTATTTACTCACCCCACCACTACGATAATTCCCGGCGACAGCACCACATCTTACGTAGCAATTAACGATACAAATGCGTAGTTCGAAAGGCGAGTAATAACCCTTGGTGATTTATGTTCGAACGCTATTTTGTTTCAACGAGTTTGCATCAGTGGTAAATTTGATCTGATTGGTATACAAAAATACATGACGATATCTTTCATTTATATTTAATTGAAACACCAAAATGTATCACAGTAATACAGATACATCGCAACGGCGAACCACAGTTACATAATGTAAAAACACAGAAGAATATTTTTGGTGCAATAGCGCCCTTTATACTATGAACAGTTCCAACACCAGATTTTAATTGGTGATCTATAATCCGAAAAAAACCCCTAATGCGGAATCGCCGAAGTCCCGGCGAGTCCAGATTAAAGACTTTGTACTGTATTTCAAAGCTGGCAGCTATAACATATTTTAGCTTTTAAACATTTACAAATTGTGTAAAATGTTTTTTAGCATATCGATTATAACAAAACTATAAATTAAAGAATGTTACACACTAATAAATCACAAAAGAATGTTAATAAATGGTATTTAAGGGGGAATAAACCTTGATTACTCTGTTATGTTTTATTTATTAATTGACTCCTCAAGGCAAAAATGACATTTAAACTCTCAAATTTGGAAATTAAATATCTGAGTATCATACAGGAGCCCCTTTTTGGGGGATGGGGGTTATTTTTTATGTTGAGTATAAATTTTTCCTAAATATTAGGACCTGAAAGGGAGGTTATATAAAAATTAACTTTCATAATTTGTATAAAATTGATTTTTGTAATTTGACTTGATGCCTAAAACATGAATAATTATATCATTTAAAGCATTTTGTTAACTAGAAATGCATGTATATGAACAACAGTTGTGAAGATAAAGGCCAGATAAAGATATTTGTGAGTACAGTGTATAGTATATACTGGGCCGTCATAGTACAGCTCACTACTTATAAAATGATGTAAATATGAACTTGTGGCTTTTGGAAAGTCTGATTGTGGCTCTTGAACTCTCCTGAATTCCAGCATGCGGCTCTTACCGACATGAGTTTTGGCCACTTCTGGTGTGTGTGTGTATACAGTCAAAAGTCGTTAATTCGGACACCCATAATTTGGCCCTCAAAGCTACAAACTTTCTGCGCATGCGTCACTTTGACACATGTGCATAGGCGTTTACGCATGCACGTAAGACCTTTACGGCTGCGAATGCACATGCGCATAATACGTGTTTACACATGCGCGTTTAATGTATAACAGACGGTATAAGCTAAGTTAAAATTATCTAATTCAGTTAATGTTGCAGATAGCGTTGTTCCTTAATCTTCGAATTGGATATTATTTTTTGCAGACTGTTAGAGCAATTTTATAAAAGTAAGCTTGAACTTTCGATTATGTCAAATAGAATTTCCAATATATATTTACTAATATGTAAAGGATCTACAAAGTGAAAGTATGTTTCGAAGTCCATTAAACAGAAAGTGGAATTGCTGCAAAAATTGAATAAAGGCATATCCTTTGCTTATCTAATCATTCCGAAATAGGTTTATCAATTTCACACTGCTCTGCGGGGGGAAGGGGGAAACGACATGGAGCGCAATGAATTGGAAGTTGATCTGTCAGCACTATCCTTATCTTCAGGGCAGATGTTTTAATTTTATTTGGCTTATAATTCCTTACTAAATGTAGTATTTCATTTCGATGTACTCCGTCTTTGATATGATTTAAATCAAGTTCCTCGTCATTATAATTCGTTTCCGATAGTGAAGAAAGTGACACACAGGTTATTGAAAACGAAAAAATTTCGATTGACAAATTAGTTGGTATTCTCGACACAGCAATTATAGGACTTGAACAGCGGAACTTTGTAACTAAACAGAAATTAGTCTATTTAAAGAATTAAAGAGAAAGTATTATCACATGAAACGAAGCAACTTAAACAACTTACATTGAAAGAAATGTTTAATAAAGTAAACAAATAAATACTAAGCTTTTTCTTTTTGTAAATTTTGATACCCTTTAGATCATAATTGTTCGTTATTTCATAAGTTACGGTTTCATATTTTTAATTTTATAATTTCTACATGCCATCTTACCAGATTTGCACTGATGATCTATAATTCGGAAAAATCGATAATCCGGAAACCCCGAAGTCCCGACGAGTCCGGATTAACGACTTTTGACTGTATATATGTAAGATATACTAAATATGATAGCTGTTTCAAAAAAATAATTAAATTCAAAATTAACATTCTAAATTTGGTGATCTGCCCCTAAATTCATCTCTTCTCACATGTTCCAGATTTTTCTATCTTATGTAACGTTTTATTGCAGATGCCTCTTGTCCAATCAAATTAATACTAAACCAAAACTCTGAACTGAAACTTTTCCGATTTCCACCCTTCTTCCTCTGAAGTTCTATGATACTCTCTTTTTTTCCGCATAAGCTCTGCTGCTGGCAAGATGCTTTTTATGTATGCTGCTGCCGCTTACATGCTTAAGATGACATCATACTTCAAAATGCAATTTCTGTATTCAAATATAATTAGGAAACATCTTGTCTGAAAAAAGAATGATTTGATATGCATAAAAAAATAAAGATTGTGAATTTTCAAGATAAGTTGTTATAAACTGTGTCATCATGCTTTCCACTCTGCCACCTTCAACCCGCTGCGGTGTTCTCGGTCATCTATGCAATATCGAAAGCTGTTAAAGTTCCAGTGCCTTCATCTACACATTTTAAAATCATTACATATATATGTGGATTTGTCTTTCTGTGTATTTAACTTGAATGAGTTTAACAGAACAAAAACATTTAACATGGTACCTTTCTAATTCTCTTTCTGTGGCTGTCATTTAGAAAAAGGGGGAAGTAATTATTGAGAATAGTTATTATTTACAAAATGGGATTTACTAAATTTTTTTAAGAGTTAAAATTTTGCAAGTCAAAACTGGAATACTATTCTAATAGCAGAACATGTAAAAATCAACATTTTTAATTTAAAGTAGTAAAAGTAATATCTTGAAGTTAAGTAAAGGTCAAGAATATTCAGTAAAGGGCAAAACTGAAAGTAAGAGATTTTCTCTTATACAGATGTTAAATTATGATGGAATTTACAATGCTTTTATGCTGAGAAGGTTAGTGCATGATCTTAGATTTGCTGATATTTAACAAATTCTGCTAAATTTGAGTTCGAGGAGGTATGTCAGCCTTAAATTTAGGTGGGTATGAGAAAAAAGGTACTGCTGATTCATTTACCTTGAAGAAGAAACATATCAATAAAAATTATCTCCTGAAATACTGCAGATAATTTAGGTGATATGAAATTTTTTTACCACAAAAAGCAAACTTTTGGTTAAAATTCCAAAAATTTTTTAAATGCCAGACAATCAGAAAACGGCACTGATTCATCATATTAGAATTGTATACTTTTTTATTATCTGATATTTCGATTTTCTGGAATGTTAACATTAGATGCTTCTAACTGAGAAGAATTGTTTGCATTTTTTGCACATTACTTATATTTTGATATTCTAATTGATGCAAATAATTTATGCTTTATCAAAATCTATTCCTCAGCATTTCATCAAATTTACAAAATGTACTTTGAAGTACAATCGTCAGATTGTTTGCAGTTTACTTAGATTAGTAATTTCATATTTGATACTTATTCTATTTTTTTGTAAAAACAAATGATTGCAATGTAGGATTTTTGCTTGGTGTACAAAGCTTGTTCAATTCAGTATATATAGCTGTCAATATATTTTTGTTTTGGTCATTGTTTTTCCCATCGTGCCTCATTTATACTGTACATTAATACTTTTACTGTACATAAGGGGCATATTGATTGCTGCATGAAACATATTTGCGTAGTGTGAAGCAATGGATTTCTTCCCTGTTTTTTTCCTTATTGAATCAATATTAACAAAAGTTATATATGTCATTTTGCATAAACTTCCATAAATTATGAACAAGCATTAATTGGAAACTTTGTGAATCTAATAGTGAAATTCATGTATAAATAAATATGAAGCAAACGATTCTTTTATACTTTTATTTCAAGAATGGTCTTTGTCTGAAGATTCAGGGAAAAGACATGCTGAAATTCTAGAAAATTATCCTGTATTATTTTATTTGCCTGTCTACAGCATTTTAGTATCAAATTTTTTATCATTATTTATTTAAATAGAATTGTAATTAAAAGTCTTATCTGATAAATATTGTTTATTGTTATTATTGATAAATATTATTTATTTAAATAGTAGGTAACAAAAAGGCTTAACTGATAAGTATTAATACATCTCACGAAAGAGAGAAAGTGTCTTTTTTCTGTCTCTGTTTCATAAAAATGGTTCATCATGTTATTACCTGTATTACCTTTATTTAAAATAAAGGTTATTACCTTTATTGTAATTTAAATTTTTTGATATTAAAATGTACATAATTTGAAAATGTTAACTTAAATAAACATATTGAATATTTTTGGACAGTTCAGTAGCTTTTAAAGAATATATATGAAGCAAACTAGAAAAATAAGTTAAAATGGTCATTTTTTGTTGCAACTGTATTTTTATTATGCAATTTGCATATATTTTTTTTACAGCCCAGATACCAGCTCATACAATTCAGAATGTCAAGATGATGAGGAAATTGCATTAGCTCTTCAGGCAGCAGAGATTGCATCTCGTAATAAAGCACGCTCAAGATTTAAGAGTAGTCGGGATCTTTTGCATAAATTATTTGTTTGTGTTTCTGGTATGTATTTATAGTGCTAATTCTTCAGTCAAGTTTTTTTTTCTGTATTTTAATTTCTTCTTATAATTATGTGTTTAGCTCATTTTGAAATATCAGTAAAGACACAGGCAAATATCAATATAGTAAATACTAATTTGTGTTTATCTGCAAAATAATGGAATCTTACCGACTAAGAAATAACAGATCAATCTGTTATTTGAATTTTATCATATTTTGAAATTTATTTCTGGTATTCAGTTGTGTCAATAATATCAGTTTTTACTACTGAAGTAGCCAATCTGAATTGGTACTTGAAATTTTGAATCTGGCAATATATCATGAGACTCGCGACTAAAGACATGTTCTGTTAAATTTTGTCTTGGCTCCACAGCCTACTGATGAAGTTAAGCCTGAATTATATTACTTTAGGTATTCATTATGCTTAAGTCTTATATATGTGTCCTGAATAATAAATTCTCACATGTACTTAAGGCTTATCCAGGGCCAGCGGTAGGTACTTTGTGGCCCAGTACAGTTTCTGCAGGTCCAAAAATCTACTGCCAACACCTCCCTAAATTCTAAAATTTTGCATCTTTGTGCCTTCCCTAAATTCTGCAGTTTTTCCATCCCTTAATCATGTTGTGTGGTACACTGATTCTTAGCTGAACTAAATAACAGATAAGTTATTCTCAATTCAAACAGCACTGAATGTAATCTTTTGGCCTCTGAGTATCATTTACAAAACAATTCTATGGTTGTGGAATGAAATTTCTCTTAAATTTCTCCTTGTCAACACACTCAGCACTTTGCAGTAGAATTAGCTGAAATCTGTAATCAATGCCCACCGTAACATAAAAGGTTACCATACGTTTTGGTATTCAGTTACTAATATTAAAAATAAAAGAAAGTTTAGATAAGGCTGCATGAGTCATTTCTCAAGCTGCAGTGTGTAAAAGTCTTGCGATGATGAAAGCAAAAAATAACGGATAATGATTTGTCACATTGGAATTGGTGCTGAAGTGAAATTAGGAATTGGATATTATCACATGTTTTATTATGAAAAAATATCAAATGTGCAAGCATAAAGCATAAAAAATTTTTTCCCCTTTTTTTCTTGTTCTCTCCCCTCTTTTTAAATTTGCTAATGATCTGGAGGTCCAGATTTTTGATCATTCTGGATATTGGATTTTCAGATTTTGGACTTTCTACTGTGTTATTTTCAGACCACCTACCTTTTCTGAATGCAGTAAGAGGTCATTATGTCAAAGTAAACACTAACTATTGCATTTTGTAAATTAAAACATTAATTTTCTAATCAGTTTGTCCATTCATATTTTTTCATTTAAAGATGAAACGTGGATTTGAAAGGAGTATTTATTTATTGTGTTGTTTTAAGATTTAATTTTATTTTTGGTAAATGATGTGAAGACACTATGTTATTCCTAACATGTTTCAAATAGACAGAATTTTTTTTTCCCCTATCTCTTTTTAATTGTTACTATTGCTTGAAATTTTAGAAAGAACGCGTACATGGTATTCTTTTTAAATTACCACAGCAGCTTACGAAATCTTCATAAATCCACGTATTTTAATGGAGACAGTAAAAGACATAAGATTTTTGAGATGTTAGATCATCAGTTTAAAATTCTGTTGAAAGAACTTTGTAGAAATTATGGAAAGCATTTAAATTTTTTTTTAGAAATTAAAAAATTTTCAATAAGCTAGTCATGTAATATTTCAAAATAGACCAGAAGTTGTATCATCATTAGAGTTATGATTTTTAATAACAGACAAATAGAAGGCTAGAAATTAGAGCAATTTATCCCAAATAAAAAGCATTTAGATATTTCTATAAATTTGCAGTATTTCACTATATAATTAATTGGCTGTTCATCATAAAAAGTTGAGAACATATATTACTTTATGCAGCAAAATTTAAGGGTTTTTTTTGGGGGTGTGTGTGTTCTTGTATAGTTAAAATTAAAATTATATGGTAAAAAAATAAAATGCCCATAAATAAATAAAAGTACTTACTTATAACTTAATAACAGCAAATAGGTGTCTGCTGCATTAAGAACAAATAATAATAATAATTTAATAATTTGTAAGATCTTAATTTTGTGTTAATCTGAAATAAGAAAACTTAGTACATTTTATAATAATAATCAAATAATGCAGTTTTCTGGAGCAAAACTGTTTTACAGGAACATGTGAATTTTAGGTATCAAAATTTATTCTGAATATTTGCAAAAATAAATTGTCTGTTTATTATCATTTATAAATTTATATACTTCTGATATTTTCTTTCAGGTGTAGCTGATCAACTGCAAACTAACTATGCAAGTGATTTACGAAATATTCTTAAGAGTGTTTTTGACATGAATTGTAGTCAGGTCCAAGTTTCTGAAACTAGTAATTCTGCTTCTGAGACTTGCAGTGGGGAAGTTCAAGGTGACTCCCTCTTGAATGAATCAACGCATAATAACAATGAAAATATATTAGGAGATGATGGCACTAATCATACAACAAACAATAATTCACAAGATGATGATGATAGAGATGGAAGTTCTGTAGATAGTGCAGAAGAAGCAGTGCCTGATAATTCTCCAACACCGTCACTAGTCATTTCTGATGTAGGCCAAGAAAATGAAAATAATAGGGAATTAAACATTGGAATACTTTCAGGTATGAAAATAGTTGTTACTTTTTTGGTAAAATTAAGTGACTGTTGAGTTATAAAAGAGGGAAATTATTTCTACTGCTATTGTCACAATTTTGTTAATACTGGGAAAGTGTGAATTTGATGGGAATCCTGATTTTATTTGAATCAATTATGTGTTATTTAGGCCATTTTATTCGAAATACAGTCAAAAGTCTTTAATCCGGACTCGTCGGGACTTCTGTGATTCCGGATTATAGATCATCAGTTTAAATCTGGTAAGATGGCATGCAGAAATTATAAAATTAAAAATATGAAACCGTAATTTATGAAATAAAGAACAATTATGATCTAAAGGGTATCAAAATTTACAAAAAAACAAGCTTTATATTTATTTGTTTACTTTATTAAACATTTCTTTCAACGCGCGCATGCGTAAAGGTATTACGCGCACGCGTGAAGGCATTATGCGTTGATGCATGCGCAGAGAGTTTGTAGCTTTGAGGTCCGGATTATGGGTGTCTGGATTAACGACTTTTGACTGTACAAATATCATTGCTCTGATGCATATAAAGTGCAGCTAAATTTATGTAGCATAATATATTCTTATATGCAATGGCAATATAGCTAGACAGTTGTGGTATTTCATAAGTAAAAAAAATTTTTTTCAGCACAATCACCTCAATTATGTATTTGGTTATGTAACAGCAATAAAAAATAAGCAACAACAGTCAGTTAAAGGATGAGGTTTCCACCTAAGCAGTCAGCCTTAGGATTTAAAAAGAAATAATGCCATATGTTTATCAGAGAGTCGTTATTTATGAGTCTAAGGTACAGAAATGTAAAAATAATCTAGCATTAACCATAGAAAAGGTTTAAGTGAATCTAGCATAAATTTCTTTAAATAAAAGTAATTTAATTATGTTAAATGAAAAATGCTCCCTTTTAGTAAAAACATGACCTCCCTTAAAAAAAAAAAAAAAAAAATACAGTCAGTAATATTTTTGGTTTTATTAAGATAAGTTTTGATAAATATTATGCTTCTCATCTGTGTACATAAATATTAATTTAAACAGGTCAGGTTCTTTAATGTTAGTATTAATAGTCAATAGTTAGTAAAATTATAGTCTTTTATACAGAAAAGGAATAAATTAAACTTTGAGACTTAATAATGTTTCATAAAACTCTTAGAGTACAATTCAGAAAATCGCATCATTTATTAAAATTTAAATTGATGTTCACATTTATAAGTACATCATATCAAAACAAAAGACTAATGGAAATTTTTATTATATAGGAGGTTGCTGAATTCGAATGACAAATTCACAGGGGGTGATAGTAGGCATTAGTAAGATGAAAAATTATTGTGGAACTTGGGGTAGCAAACCACGTTTATTCGGTGCAAACTACAAAAATAGACATGGAGAGGATAGCAAATCTGACAGGAAGAGTGGCTAAACAAATGCAAGGATTAAGAGCACCACAGTTGAGAAGAAAAAACCTTCTCATATGAAAATTTTCAATATATATGGGGAAAATAAAAGTAGTAAACAAGTATTCATTAGTGGGAACTTGCAGAATTTGCAAGCATTAAATTCCATTCAGAAACACCATGTCAGGTTACACGAATGAGGAATATGCAAATATGATTTACAGCTGAGAAGGTGGTAATGGATGCCTAGTACAGAGGATGTTCCAGGACTAATATCCGAGGAAGTGTCATCTGCATCATACCACTTCATGAATATGAGTCTACGGCTGCAGGAGATAGGATCTTTCCAAATAACAAGGCTTAATGTAAGGCAAGAATGCAGTATGAGCATACCTGAAACCGAAAACTGAGTATTGCAATGGTTTGCTCTCCTTGTCAACCAGTAAACATTCGATTGCAGTTGAACTGGGTATTCGACACAAAATGGTGCAAAAGCTCTGCGTGCAGAAATCATGCATCCCTTCCATGTGCAGAAGGTGCAACTCCTAGATGATGTCAGTTTACCTCCTTAGGATAGAGTTTGTATGCTGGATGTCACTCAGTTTTTCACCAGCGTTTTATTCTCAGATGAAGCCTAATTAACAAGAGAAGGCATGGTCAACATTCACAATGCGAATATATGGTCGTCTGAAGATCTCCACAGCACTATCTTGTCAAATCAGCAATTCAAATTTGATACTAACATCTTGGTAAGGATTCTACACTCATGTCCATAAATTAAGGATAATGCAAAATCAGGCAAAGGAAGAGTTAGAAGCAAAACAAATTTGACTTATTTGTAAAGCTTATTTATTAAACAAAAGGTAAAGAGCAAAAAAAGATACTATATGTTTGATATTATTAAAAAAATTAGCGATTTTTTTCTCCCTGGAGCAAATTAAAAAAAAAACCTATTTACAAAAAACCAATATTACATGGTTGGTATGATTGTTAATACATTGTATGTCTCCCAGACGATGCAATGCAGTCCGTACAACGCCTAGGCATGCTGAGTATCAAATTATCGATCTGATCTTGGGGGATATTACACCACTCAAAAAGCAATGCTCTCCAGAAGTTCCGGTAGACATGTAGGAGGAGGTTGACGGGCTGCAACTCGTCGGCCCTAAGCATGTCCCACACGTGCTCTACTGGATTCAGATCCGGTGAGAATGCTGCCCAGTCTATACGGGTGATATCCTCCGATCGAAGGCATTCGCTTACGATGTTTGCACGGTGAGGAAGGGCGTTGTCATCCATAAACACAAATTGTGCACCCATGACGGCCCGAAACAAACGTACATGTTGTTCCAGAATGACGTCCCGATAGATTTGGCTTGTCATGGTTCCAATTTGAACATGCAGGTCAGTTCTGGAACTCAGAATAATTCCACCCCAAACGAGCACTCCTGCACCACCGTAACGGTGTCGTTCAATGATGTTTTCTTGGTGGTAACGGGTACCTGGAGCTCTCCATATGAAAGTCCGGTGAGAATCAGACTGCAAGCTAAACCTGGACTCGTCGGAAAACATCACACAAGTTGCAGTGTCTACAATGCATGCTCCCTAATCCAGGCTAACCGCAGGTGACAGTGAGTTACAGTAAGTGGAACGCATCTAACAGGTCTACGAGCATATAGACCAATCTGCCGTAAGTGTCTGTACACGGTCTGCCTTGAAATTGTGGTACCAGTGCCTGAAGAGAGCTGACGAGACAGGTCTGAGGCTGTGCTCCGCCTGTTTCTTTTGGCAGTGACTGCCAAATACCGGTCCTCATTCGGCATTGTAACTCTGGGGCGACCTGTGCTGTAACGTCTACTCACATTACCATCATCTTTGCCAAAGCGAGATGACACTCTGGGCAATTCCAAGTTCGTCTGTTACTTCCAGTTGGGTACGCCCACATTCCAGACAGCCGATAATTCTACCACGAAAAAATCATCCAAATGCGTCCTTTGTGTCATAAGTATTCGGTTATTGCACAGAAAAGCTTATAAAGCACCTGCGAACAGTTTTACTTATTTGCCTGTATTCCTTATATATCACTCTCTTACACTCTCGTCATTGTGACGTACCATCGGTGTCATCTGGTTACTTCCTGAAATTTACATATGATTCTTGAAGATGTGTGTAGTGATTTTACAGGTGATATAGTTATTTTAGAGTTCGATTTCCGCGTGCCTCCGAATTATCCTTAATTTATGGACATGAGTGTAGATCGTCTTGTTGGGACAACAGCTCGTCCTTCTGAATTTGATGCAGGGAATGAATGCACTTGAGTGCTAATGTGCTCCAGCACATGTGATTTGCACGTGATGTTGCATCAGCATATTTTGGGATTGCAGTGTGTAACCACCTCCGCCTCAATGCTTTATATCCTGGGAGGTAGATCGGAGGACCTGTTGCTTGGTCTCCATGCTCCCCGGACCTCAGTCCTTTGGATTTCCTCTTCTGGGGCTACCTGAAATCGATTGTTCTGAGGATCTGACAGCATGGATCGTTGTTGCTTCAGCAGATATCGCCAGGACAGCGGGTATGTTTGAATGTGTTTGGCAATCCTTTGTCCATTGGTATTGTGTGCAATGACCTTTGTAGTCACTACTTCGAACAATAAACTGTGATGCACTGTAATCTGCTTTACATCAAATAAATGTTTTTCTACTAATAATTGGCTCTTTTTGTTTCTCTTGATGTCACATCCTTCATAACTATTTTATGATGTTCTCCCACTATATGTGGTTCACGCCCCCATGTTCTGTGGTAATTTTTTATCCTCTTGATGCCTATTATCACCCACTCTGAATTTCTCAGCCACCCTGAATACATATACTCATTCATAATAGTTATATTCTAAATATTATGGCTTAAAAGACTCATCTTTTTATATATTATAATCCAGTAGTTTTAGAGATCTTGGTAGGAGTTTTGTACCAACATTTTTAGTTAAAATTTTAAAGTCTCCCTCGTTCTGTGAATATTAATCCCATTTGTATTTTAGTGAATTTGATATTACCTGTGCGAAATTTTGGCATGGAAATTTGTTTCATGTAAGTATATTGTTCTTTAGGTCCTCCAGAATGGATGCCAGATGAATTGAGCTCTAATTGCATGGCTTGCAAAGTACAGTTTACTATTTTACGGAGGCGTCATCACTGTAGAAATTGTGGAAAGGTTTGTAACCGTCTGTTTCTTTTTTTTTCTTTTCTTTTTTTTTCTTTTTTTTCTTTTTAAGGTTTTATATTTAAATAAAGCATGTCTTCATTTTAGCAACTTTATCAGTTATTGCTAAAATTGACATATGTTTGAACTTCAAGTATCTAAACTAAATGAGACCACATCCCATTCAGATAACAGGATTGTTATTATCATATTTTATTTCAGTAGTAGCACATAAAAGATACATAGATAGTTTAAAAAGTTTTATTTAATACAGTACAAAGTCTGCAATTTGGATATCCATTATCCAGAATGACCTAAAATCCAAGCACTGAGATCCAAAGTTTAGGTGCGTTAAAAATTACAACTTAGGAAGGCTCTTTGTAGCAGAATTTAGAACCTGCAGAGACTGCACCAGGCAGGGGCGTAGCTAGAGTTTCCAGCGCTCGGGGACTACTGAAGAATTTGCATCAATTTCTGTGTGCCAAGAATGGAAAAGTTTATTATAAAATTTCGTAGCATCAGTTTGGTGCCCCTTGGATGCTGCTCCCGGGGACACGTCTCCTTTTGCTCCACCTTAGCTACGCCACTGGCACCAGGCGGTATCTAGCGCCAGCCCTAGATAAAGCTTTAAGTATATGTGGGAGTTTATTTATTCAGGACTCAGATTAGTTTTAAACATGTGCAAAAAATAAACATAGGTATAGTAGATAACTAATATAATTCAGGCTTAATTCAGTACGCAATAGGAACAAGACAAAATTTAGTGGAACAACTTGGCTTTCGTCACCAATCTTGTGATACACAGCCAATAATATATAATGAATGCTATTAAGCTAAGCTAACATTATCTGTACTGATTCTAAGGCATTTAAGTTAATGTAGCAGACTGTGGCTGCTTCTTAATCTTCTAATTTGATCCAGCTTATTTTTTGCAAACTATTATTATTACATCAGTTTTTTAAAAATTAAGCTTGAACTTATTATGTCGAAAAGAGTTTCCAATTTTGGAGCTGCCAAAGGATCTACAAAGCGAAAGCATGTCGATGTCCATTAAACAAAAAGTGGAATTCCTGCAAAAAATGGATAAAGGCATATCCGTCTCAAAATTATGCAAGGTGTGGTGTGGTGTATTTAATTATGGCAAAGCACACGAGGGCTATCTGCCTAATGGGAGGGATGCCTTTCGTGGAGGACTTTCTAAGGGAAACTGGCTCGTATACACGTTACACATGGGGAAAACCACGAAAACGCCCATGCAGCCAGCCCGTTCGCGGGATTCGAACCTCGGACCGAACTACCAGTGTTCAGCGACTTTACCGCTCGGCCGCTGGTGGGCTCCAAAATTATGCAAGGAGTTATGGCATTGGAAAGTCAACTGTATATGACATAAGAGAAAAGAACTTTTTGAATTTTTTGTGGATTCCGACACCCCACTCGCAATGAATAACAGAAAAAGTGTTCGGTATGATAAAAGTGACGAAAATGACAAAGTGATAATTGAATGGGTCAGACAGCGTCGCAGCGAGGGCGTGCCATTGATGGGTCCAATGCTAATGGCTCAAGCCAAAATATTACATGAAGAAATGAACTTAAACACCGATTGCACATATTCAACAGGTTGGTTAACCAAATTTTAAAATTGCCGTGGTATAAGACAATTAAAAATTTCAGGTAAAAAAGCTTCAGCTGATACTGAAGCTGCTGAACAATTTGCAGATGAATTAATTGAACTCATTACTAGTGAACAACTAACTATCTCCAGAACAAATTTACAACGCTGATGAAACTGGTCTTTTCTGGCAATATGTACTATGAAATACCTTGGCAACCTCTACAGAAAAGGCTCCAACAGGTGTCAAAGATTCCAAAGCGAGACTAACAATTTTAGTGTGTGTAAATGCTGCAGGAATGCACAAGTGCAAACTTTTTGTAATCAGAAAACATGCACGACCTCAAGCATTTAAAGCAGTAATGATTTTCCATGTTATATATCGTGCAAATAAAAGAGTTGGATGACGCAAGTGTTAATGAGTGATTGGTTTGAAAATCATGTTATACCCGAGGCTCGGCAACATTTGAATTCGGTTGGTTTACCTGATGGCTCAAAAATAGTCCTGACTGTATACAACTCTTCGGCTCATACTTCACTTAAAGTTTTAGTGAAAGATAATGTATCCATATTAGTCTTCCCTCCAAATTGTACGTCTGTCTCAGCCTATAGAATTGGAATAGTGCGCGTGCTGAAATGCAAATATAAAGTAGCATTTTTAAAATCTATGTTAAATTTCTTCAACAATGGCAGGACTATTCAAGAATTTTTGAAATATTTTAGGTAATAAATGAAGATGATATAACAGAAGTTTTTCATTGTGATGACAATGCTTCAATCATCAATCAGTTAATGGATGGTGAAATCTGTATAATCGTTCTAGATCCAGAAAATACTCCTACCAATAGTGAAGAAAGTGACAGAAAGGTTTATTGAAAACGAAAAAATTTCGATTGACAAGTTAGTCAGTGTTCTCGACGCAGCATTTACAGGATTTGAACCTTGGAACTTTGTAGCTGAACAAGAAATTATGTTTGTTTTTAGAATTAAAGAGAAAGTATTAGCACAAAAAACGAAGCAACTTAAACAAGTTGCATTGAAAGAAATGTTTAATAAAGTAAACAAATAAAAAAGGTTTTTTGTAAATTTTGATACCATTTAGATCAAAATTTCTCTTTATTTCATAAATTACGATTTCATATTTTTAATTGTATAATTTCTGCGTGCAGTCTTACCAGATTTAAATTGATGACCTGATATCTGGAAAAATCCCAAATCCGGAATTGCCGAAGTCCTGACGAGTCCAGATTTCAGACTTTGTATTGTTATATAAATTATATACATATAAATTTAACAAAACAATAAATCACATTTGGATAAAACCAAGAAATCAGATTACTTTATTTGCCTAATTCATAACTTATTTCAATTTTAATTAAAATAAAACAATGAAATTTTATTCACATAAGCCATTCACTTTGTATTAAATTTTTAATTTAAAAATGTATTAAATTTAAAACTATTAGACTGGTAGAAACAGTTCGTCAACTATTGTCCTGTCATATCTTCTGACTACGATAAATACAATTCAGATCGAAGGTTTGAAATTAACCCTGTTTACTAACACTTTAGCCTGTTATACAAAGCTAAAACAATAATAAAAATCAACTCTGCATCTTGCAGAAAATGTAGAACAAATGTCAAATTTAAATGTGAAATCAGATTAAATGCACCTAAGAGAGCCTTGGCTCGGGCTTTATGTATTTGTGAAGCAAATGCAGTTTGCCAAGGTAAAGTTGATAAATCAATTAGAGTAGCAAAGAGATGATGTAGGTCATGATTAGCAAGTGTGCCAAAGGCACTTCCTCAAACTCGAGAACTTTGCACTTATATACGTTAAATAATTTGCATTTTGGTGAGAGTTCAGGAAAGTACCCACAAACTAATAAGATGACTGGGTTAATATGAAACCTTATATTTTGTTCATTCTTTTATGTTCACAACATTAAAAAGTTCTGCAACCTGTTTGTTTATGCTTGCAATTTATAGTATAGCCCAGTCTGTGATTACATTTAACTGGAAACTAAAAATAAAGTATAAAATCAAGAAATAAAATATGAAAAGCATTCACAAATATAAATAAAACATTCCCATTATGTAAAAAAATATAATTATAAAAAATGATAATAAAATTAAATATTTTCACAATTTAAGTTTGTATAAAATATTTAAAATATACAGTACAAAGTTCGTAATCCGGATGTCCATTATCCAGAATGATCTATAATCCGGACCTCAAAGCCACAAACTTACGCATGTGCGTAAAGCGCTTACACATGCGTGCTATCGATAGTGAAGAAAGTGACAGAGAGGTTATTGAAAATGAAAAAATTTCAATTGACAAGTTAGTTGGTATTCTCGACACAGCAATTGCAGGATTTGAACAGTGGAACTTTGTAACTGAACGAGAAATTATGTCTGTTTATAGAAGAGAGAATTAAAGAGAAAGTATTATCACATAAAACGAAGCAACTTAAACAACTTACATTGAAAGAAATGTTTAATAAAGTAAACAAATAAATATTAAGTTTTTTTTTTTTTTTTTTTTATTTGTAAATTTTGATACCCTTTAGATCATAATTGCTCTTTATTTCATAAATTACAGTTTCATATTTTTAATTGTGATAATTTCTGAATGCCATCTTACCAGATTTAAATTGATGATCTATAATCTGAAAAAATCCCTAATCTGGAATCGCCAAAGTCCCGACGAGTCTGGATTATGGACTTTGTACTGTACTTACATATAAAATTTAAATTTTGACTTATTCATACATTGTAAACTAGTTGCTACTATCAAACAAAATTGTTCAAAAACTTAAGAGGACGTCAAAAATCTGAATTGATATCTAAAATCAGTATATGTGACATCATAAAAAATAAATCTTATTTTGTTATGAATCCTTCCTCGGCGTGTATTATTAAAATATTTAGTTTTATATTGTCTTGTAATATTTTTAGGCACTGTTATCTTATGTTAACCATAGTTAAAATTTTTCTTTCAGATATTTTGTTCTCGCTGCAGTTCCAATTCAATTCCTCTGCCTCGATTTGGACACCTGAAACCTGTTCGAGTGTGCAATCAATGTTTCATGTACCAGCTTACAAACCTTGTTATGCAGAGACAGTTGTGACCCTCGTGGACCATATTGTTTTAACCAATTAACTGTAAGGTCTCAATGGTTATGTCGGTGCTATACTGTAAAAAGTTCAATTTGAAAAAAGACCATATTAGTTTATGGCCAATCGTTTTTGTTACTACAGCTGTGACAGCAGCTTCCTGTATATAATGTGTATTGTTCTTTCTTTTATGATACTGGTTAGTTAATATTGTAAAATAATGTAGAAAAGCATTACTTACTGTATATGTATGTGGCAGCGCAGCTTGATGCAGGGTGTTTTAGGCATGAAGAGATTTCTGGTTTTCCTTCCAAAGTTAATAACTATTTTCTCACCGAATTACTTGTAAAAGTGTCACATTCAAAAATAGCATACATATTAAATACATTGTAGAAAATGTAATTGTAAACTATTAAATTTATAATGGCAGTTTGCCTTTTTTAAAGGAATTTATTTTCATTGTAAAGGTTTTGTATTTTATTCTCATAATTGTTACTTGTATTTTAATAGTAGAAGTTTTGTGTTGTGTTTAAACTAGATTTTTTTTTTTTTTTTTTTTTTTTTTTTTTTTTGGGTGGGTGACAAAATATTCAGGATAAATTTATTGTATTTGGAATACATTTTCAGTTTTTTCATGCATAATAAATTGAAAAGCAATATTTTAGAAACATTTTGGTGTATTTAAAATACAAATCAAAGTTCAGTAGAAATCTGATTGCTTTTCATCCAAGTACTTTCTGTTTTGTAATAAAGCAAAACTCTGTGAAAATTTTTTGCATACAATTCTGTATATTCAGAGAGATGCATGTAAGAAATGGTTGCAGAATGTCATTCAGAATACCTTAAATAGTATTTGCACCTTAATCATTGACAAGACTTTAAAAAAATGAATAACTATGAATATTTTTATTAACTTAGTATGCTGCTGCCATTTAAATTCTACTTCTGTTTACATTTTTAACCTACAATTCAGTGTCCACAAGTAAGAATAGTAAATAGAAAGTTTGTTTTTTTAAAAAAAATTGTGCCTAAATATTAAACTATTTTTTGATAGGTGTTTTTGTATGAATAAATTTTCATGTCATACATATCTGAGATTTGTTGAAATATATATTGATATCTATAGAATCTTATTTTTTAATTTTTATAATTTAAAATGAATTTTTTTCAAAGTATATTTACAGTCTTGTATTCACCTAAGGGGTATTCTGAAACTTTATGTTGTTCTGAAAGTTTAGAAAATAATAACAATAAGGAATATCTTTTATTTAAATTCATTGATATTACCTGAAGTCAGGAATTCATCAGTACTTTTATTTCCAAGATTTTCAGAAGTGCTGCTTTCAAAGTATAAAGTAATAACCTTACAATGCTGAATTTTGTAATTACATATAAATATTCATATTTTTGTATATAAAAGTTTTGACAAATTCATTTATTTCTTCACAGTATTGATAATCTGTAAGTTTTAAAAAGAATGCAGTTATAATATGTTCCTACATTGGACGATTTTGACTGTTATTGATCCATTTAAGTTTGTTTGGCAATAAAATAATTTCAGTTTTGTAAGTAACTTTTTTCTCAATACATTGTAACATGCATTAAATGTAATAGAAAGATTCCAAATGTCTCAAACCACAATTGATGAAAGCAGAAGTTTTATGATTAACAGGAAATGTCTTATCAATATTGTGGTGGAAAAGTAGACTTGCATATCAGTTCATACACACATACATACACAAATGCTTCTATGTAATATTTGGCATCCTGAAAAGGCATAAATTTGGAATCAAAAGGGGGAATTATTTTGTTATATTAAAACAATGCAAAAGTTTTATGATTAATTTGAAAAAGTTAAGATTTTTATTTATTTTTTATAATTGATGGCAACTGTAATAAAAATTTACTGATGTAATTTTTATAGCATGTTCGTAGTGCTTAAATTCCAAGTGTACTCACTAATTCATAATTAAAATTTCTAGGTTTGCTAATATTTTTTATTTTCTTTTTAGTATAATCTTTCTCTCCTCCCAAAAAATCATATTAATTTTTGCCTTTGATTTTCTGGCCATGAAGATCTGCTTTAAAAGTCATATCAAATTTTTCTAAACAAAAATTATAATTAATTATTATTATAGTTATTGAGCTATAACGAAAGCTTCTCGCCACTGCAAATATCGTCTGCGCAAACAGTTCACGTTGGCTTGTTTAATCGAATTTTGTCAAACGATTTTTGGCTTTTGAAAGAAAGTGATTTGCTTTAGAACACCGTGTTGTGAAATTTATATATATAAAAATCATTATCATTTAAAACAAGGTATCTGAAATGGAACTATAATGCTACCAGATACATTTACTTCCAGATCCACTGGGAAAAAAGGTCAGCTGTAGAATGTGTACAGCCTCAGGTACTAATGTTGTATCATATGACACTCTGAAGGTTTCGTACCAAAAGTTCAAAAATGAGGACTATTACATTTAAGAAGCAGAGTGCTCTAGCCAGCCTGCAAGAACTTATGGAAGAAGACCAGCATCTACCACACGAGAGCTTGCTAAGGAGTTGCATGTTCATGCCATGTCCATTAGTCATGCTATGCATCGAATGAACTTGACATACAAGTTGAATTGCTGGGTGCCCGTGCCACATGAGCTGACTAGAGCAGATAAGTACAGGCGTGTTTGAGCCTGCACTTATCTGTTCAGCAGGAGTTGGATGTTTGTGCCATGTCCATTAGTCACACTGTGCATCGAATAAACTTGACATACAAGTTCAACCGCTGGGTGCCGCATGAGCTGTCTAAAGCAGATAAGGACATACATACACACGAATATCAACACAAATATATCCTGTGGGCCTGCACGAATATCAACACAAGGACAAAATTCCTGACTGGATTGTCACTTGTGATAAAAAGTGGATGCTGAAAATGGGGTTAGTCTGACCGATAAAAACCATTGGCAATGTCACAAAACACGATTTGACTAACAAAAAGATCATGCTTTTTATCTGGTGGGATTGCTGTGATCTGGAAAAAGGTAAAGCCCCCGAGAGTAAGATGTACAGCGAGATGCTAGTCCGTGCTGACGCTGCTATCAAGGAAAACGTGGAACTCAGTTCCAGCACAAAAGGCTAAGATTCCATCAAGATAATGTCCACATTCACTTGCTGGACTGTATACAGACTCGAATGGGATCTTTTGCCACACCTACTATATAGCCCCAACATTGCTCCTTCAGACTTCTACCTTTTACCACACCTACAGCTATATCTTGTTGGTGTTATCTTCCACTCTGCACAGGATGTTCGAAATGAGGTCGATCTGTTTTTGAACTGGCGACCACCAGATTTCTGGGTGGCGAAAGCTTTGAAAAATTACTAAAATATTCGCAGAAAATCATAGATTTGGGTGGTGACTACTGCCTGCACTAAAGATACTTATTTTATTTTTTAACTTTATTAAAAACGTTTTTTGGTGGAAAACTTTCATTACAACCAGATATTATTAAAATTAATTATTACTAAAATTATTTGTGTAAAAGTACGCTGCTCACTATTTAAAACTAAATACTATGATTTCCAAATTGAAGATGCATCATAATTCTATGTAAATTAACCTTTTTCCCGGGGCTGGGATGTCCCACACATTCATAACATTAAATAAAGCTCAAAGAAATTTACTATGAAAATTTCAAGTTTGCTACTTAATGCAGAGCAGGAAATGGCTGTCCCTGCTGATCTGTTTTCCTGTTCCTTGCTGATTGAATAGTTGACTAAGTGGCTTCAATACATAAAAAATTAGCTTCTGTAGCCCATGTGAAAAGGTTTTGAGCAATGCAACTAGGTAATAAAAAATTTGTTGTCCGTAGTCAATGATTTGCCATTCACAAAACAATTGTTTATTGCACTAAGTCAATATTGATTATTTGTTCATTATTAAGCAAATATGAAATTCTACTGGAGTATGCTGTTAAAATATGAACTTTCTATCGAAGTCCAATGAAAGGCAATTTCATTGAGATTTTTCAGTAATATACTTATTAGCATTCCACTGTCAAGCCATTAACTCCACACCATCATGGGTCAACCTCCATATTTGTTGGAATTAAATAGCTGAGTTAAGAGATGTTTCCTTAAAAAAAATAATCTTATTTCATTTCTTTATTTCAAAAGCTCCCAAGTCTTGGTAAGCTCTAAAACGTTAGCTGGTACTTTGCATTCTTCCTTACTTACTGATGAAGCTGATGTTTTGATATTGGCTAAGATTTGCTTACTTATTACTGCAGAGATTTCTCCAACAAGATTTGCAAAAAAAATTTTTATTAAACTTTTGTTTCACAACTACCCTAACAGTCAGTTTCATTTATGTTCCACTTATATTTTCAATTAGTTGGCATTTTGGGCATAATATAACTTTATCCTTTAACGTTAGCAATTTGGATAGATTTGCCTTTCTCTGACTAAAGAACTATTTTTTTTCTTCTTTGACAATCTTTCAGTGCTGATTTATATTTAAGATTTCATCCGATTTTTTATTTTCATTTTAATTACATATCTGCAATCTTTCTTGTTACGAGTTAGTAATGTTTTAATAAGTAGATGAACCTACATCCACCAGAGACTGTTTTAATGAAATCTCAAAAGTATTATTTAAATTGGTAAAAGAATAAGACTAAAAATTAAAACTATTCAATATAAAATCAACGTTTAAATGGTTGTTTTAAAGGATTTGTTAAAGTCAAGTATCCATACAATTTCATTAATTTTGCATTATTATTATTTTACAAACTCGTTTGCATATAATGTTTGTTCATTTAAACACTTATAAAATCTGATGTAAAAAGTAATATCCAGAATACAGAATTTTTAATCTACAATCAATTCAGTTTTTAGTAAAACTAAGTTATTTACGTATATAAAAAAAATTCTATGCTTTGCTTCCAAAAATTTATCAATGAGAATTTTAGTTTGCCTTGCATTTCAGTACTGACTGCATAAATTCACATTCTATAATGGTTATTGATGCAAAATATATAGCTTGGAAAAATCACAAATTTGCGAGATTATTTGCTCATGAAAATACATTTAAAAGTTTGACAAATGTTTAGTCCCAAGAAAAATCAACATTTAATATTTTCGTAAAAATTATTTTATATCTGTCAAATATACGAGTTTCTTTTTTTTAGCTTAGCATTGATGTCATAAAAAACCTAGGGCAATGATATAACTGAAAATAATAATATGATTTATGCTTTTGAAAAGAGCAACACATGTTTTAGGAAACTTTAAATGTGTTGTTTCAAATGGACATCTGCAACTTCATGCATTCATCAATCAGAAAGAGTGGTTATTTAGTGGTTTCATCATCAAAAGTACTTTAAGTATAATCATAAGTTGCTTATTATGTATCTTTACATAGGATATAAATACGCTTTTTAAAGTCATCAAATTTTACTTCCAATTAATTATGAGTGAAATCCTTCCTATTCTAAAGAAAATACACACACAGCTGAAAAAGTATTCTTTATATTTTATAAGGAAGGATAAATCCATATTGTATCTTCTTTATTTCAAATTTGCATACATTAAATAAAAATTCGTTGATGTACACTTTTTAGACATTCACTATTGAATACATTTTAAGAACTTTGTAAGTAATCATTTAAATTTCCAAAGTGAGAATACTTTCAGTAAACAAATGCTATTTCAATTCTATAAGCACTATACAATGTATTGAAAAAAAATCTATGTTACAGTTGTGTTAAAACATTATTATGAAAATGTGCATCATATTTTCTTGCATAAATTAAGGAAAGGTGAAAGAAACTAAATTACTTTAATTATGTAATCACCTATTTAGCGTTAATGTCAAGACAAAATAAATGCATAAAAGAACAATAAAACGAACATTGCAAAGTAAACAACTCACGTATTGCTTGGTATATAAAGGAACGTCTATATTTAAATCTAAAGGCAATGATTTCTAAGGCAATTTGTACCCGTACGACTACTAAAAGTAATACAACAAGTATATGATATTCAAGGCAGATTTTTCTTGCTCATTTCATTTCATCCATTCATTTATTACAGAATTAACACTGATTATTCCAATTTTAGAATACTAACAAAATCATTTTACTTTAACAAACAGATATTTAAAAATTACCTAATTTTTAAAATAAATGTAATAATTGTATACTTTTAGATGAGATAAAATATTAAAAATTGCATAAAAATGTAACGTAACAATCCTGAACAATTCATGCCCTTATATGCAATGTGAAAAAACATTCAAGAAATGTAATCCTTTTTAGTAATAAATTATTCAATGTTAAGAAATACAAATATAGAAAATTAAATTACAGATTATCACTGATAAAATACTTTTAGGTTGTTACCTTGCTTACTGTATCCATTTTCTATTACTTATAACTTCAAGTACTTACATAATTAACTTACTAAAAAACTTGTTACATATTTTTTTTCCATATGGATAAAATGAATCACTAATTTTAATGATAATGTTTTAATAACAGTCTTGGTTGATGTCACACGAATTTTAGCAAATAGATTTTTTTTTACAGATCTTTTTATAATACATTGTCTTTACAAAAACTCTCGCATTTAAAAATAAAGTGAAACCCATCTTACTATTTTATAACAAGAAGCCTTTTTTTTTTTTTTCATGCTATTCAGATGAATTAATGTAATTATGAAAAATGTTAAATCTTCATTTGAAATTACACACACATATATAACCATCATATAAAAGCACCTTTTTTAATGAGCTTTTGTATTAAAAATACAGACTGATAAATGAAACATATTACTGAACAGATCATCAACATTAGAGCATGAAATAGCGCAAAAGCTTTAAAAACCAATATTGTAAAATTAAAGTTTTAATTTAAAATAAAAGTAACCATATTAAAGTTACTTTAAGAATTATATAATATAAAGGAACTAACAGTCACGATCTGAATAATATAATGCATATGGCATACTTTGTTTTTAATACTGACATCTATAAAGCATACTCATAGTTACAAAAGAATTTAAAAACTTTACCAAACTTAATGAATTACATTTTTTTAATATGATCAAAATCTAGTTATGACTTTCAAATTCATGTATCTTATGACTTCGCATGCTATAAAATTAAATCCATTTATTTTTGTAAAACACAAAATGACACAGGTAAATGTTACTAATTTATTATCTGGAAAATTAGTAGTATACAAGTTTTTTAATAACAACTTATTAAATATTTCCCCAACTGCTTGTTATTATTTAAATATGATGCATTTCATCATATTGATCAACTTTGATATGGGACATAAGGAAGAAATATTTAATTACTTGATCACACTTTCCAAAGACTTTTTCCCCCTCCATCAAAAAGTACTACACAAAAAATAAAAAAACTAATGAAAAGTTTTATGATTCCAAATTTTGATAGTTATAGTTCAGTAGAACTGGCTTAACAGTTGCAATCACTCAAGTTTTGTTTCAATCAAATTAAAAATAATGGTTACAATATGTAAACTAAACATTTGAATTAGAACAATAGCTTTTTCCAGTAAGATGAAATAGCTATGCAAGCATTATTTTTATTTAATGAGACTGATTTACACACGTGTTTTTGCTATAGTGTTTGACTTAATTATGTAATCACATTAAATACTTCTGGCAATATTTAGCCATATTGCATAAAGTACTTTGCCTATACATAGATTATAAAGATGGATACTGACACATTTTTTATTAATACTGTTATACATTTCTGAAGTACAGTAAACCTTTGCCTTGTGGAATGTGACTTTGCGTTTTCTTAACTGTCGCCAATTTGTCTGACACCAGAATTTCAATTATATGTGATATGCTGCAGAGTGTCAGCCACATTGCGACAGTCTTCTTTAATGACTGGTTTGAAAATTAATTCATTAAAATAAGACAAACATTGCTTAGAATAGCAAACCTGAGCTGTTAAGTTCTCCAAATTATCGATAATGCTTCAAGATATGGTGCTGAAATCCTCACAGCACTGCATCCATTTTAATCCTTCTGCTGAACATCACTTTCTTCATCCCATCAATGGATCAAGGAATCACAAAAGCATTCAAAGCCTATTGTCAAGCATGTTTACAACACTGAAAATAAAGCATCAGACGAAGGATAGCACAACACACTAATGGCATTTTCGAAGTAATTCAACATAAGACACTGCATAGAAATGATTAAACTCACATGGGAACTAGTGAATTCAACAACAATAAATGCTTACTGGCATCAGCTCAGATCAGAAGTTATCAAAGATTTTAAAGGATTTCGAACCATTGAAAATGAAGCCACGGAAATCATATGAATTGCAAAAGCAATAGTCAGTGAAGGAAATGAAAGAATTAGTCAAAAATGACAAATGAAAAATTGGATTATAACACTAGAAGACAGTGAAGAAAATAAAGGTGTTTTAATGCACAAAAAGTTGTTGTTAAAAACCAACTGTTAAAAGAACAGTCTGATTTTGTAATGGAGAATAACCCAAATGAATACAAAAGAGGATACTTTACAACAGGCACTGAAAAAAAACTTTGCATTCCTTGCTGTGAAATGTTTAATGAGTTGCATCAAACATTATCCCAAGCGAAAATCACTAGCTGTTTAAAAAATAATAATAATTGTATCATGCACCTACTTATTAAGCAGTAGCAGGTATCCTTTCAATTAACATCAGTTCCATTTTACTCTTTCAATTACAATAATATTTAAGTCTGTATAAATTATGCAAACTTTCTTAATCTGAACTATACTTAACCCATGTACCATGTGTTAATGACAAAACCTCCACACTTGGCAAGGGTTAACTGTATTTAAGAAAATGTTTAAAAATTAACTAGACACATGGTTAAAATGAAGTTAAAAATATTCTAGTTTGACATGCTGGAACACCCATTTACTTACGATAAAAAAGAAAAACAATCTATTTTTCTATGTCCCACTTCCTAAAATAAGATTATTATGGTTTCAGATATTTTTTTAAATAATCACAGCTGTTATACTATTTAAATATTTCTATTATATAAATTCTTCAAAATTCATTTAATTTGAATTATTTTGGAAGATTTACAGTTGGTTCATTTTTAATACATGCAGCCACACACCATCTCAATAAAGAGTTAAATTTTGCCACACAATGATTATTTTACTCTAAATTAAACCTTTAGATTCGGGTTATCTTATATAGCACTAAGTCTAAAATTTGGACTTTGGAACATTTTTTAAAATTTTTGTATGCTTTATGCATGTGCATTTGATATTTTTTTATGATAAAACATACGGAGAGCCCTGATTCTTAATTTCACTTCAGCACTAAATAAAATACCTTTATATTGGAGAAACAATTTAATTAGCATACTGTATGATCAATAATGCAGCTGCCTTTTGCTTGGCATACATCCCAAACTAAAACATTCTACATTGAAACATCACTGATTTTACACCTACTGAATAACTCATATCTCTAATACTAACCTTGTGAATTATTAATTATTAATTTTTGCTTTCATCACTGCATGACTATCAACACATGGCAGCTTGAGAAATGAACTCTCACAGCAATACCTAAACAATTTAAAAAAAAAAAAAAAAATATTAGTAATTGGATACTGTAGAGTGGGTAACATTTTTATGGTGACATTATGCTTAGGGATGATTTCAGACTTTAGATAATTCTACTGAAGTGTTCAGTGTATTGACAAGAAATTTAACAGAAATTTCTTTCTATATGCAAAAAATAGACTGATATTCAGAAGCCGAAAGTTTGCATTTTCTGCTATTTGAATCAATAATAACTGATTTGTTGTTCAGATAAGCCTTAAGTATATGTGGAAATTTATTTATTTAGGACTCGGACAGGGCTTAAGCATAAGCAGAAAATACAACAACATGTAATATATAGTTAAACTAATATAATTCTGGCCTAACTTCATCAGCCTCCAGTAGAAGAAAGAGAAAATTTAGCAAACAACACATCTCAAATCGCCAATCTCATGTTACATCACCAACAGTTTTATAGCAGATGCTAACCATGAACTTGAACTTTCAGATAGTTCAGAAGGCTTTCAGATATCGCAAACAGATGGCAAAATCTTCCAATTAATGGAATTTGTGCACAAGTTGTAATAAATAAAGACGATATAACAGAAACTTTTCATAGTGACGACAATGCCCCAATCATCAATCAACTAACAGATGGTGAAATCTGTAGTATGGTTGTAAATGCAGAAAATATCACTACCGATAGTGAAGAAAATCACAGAGAGGATATCAAAAATGAAAACATTTCAATTGATAATTTCGTGGAAATTCTCAACACACCAATTGCAGAACTTGAATGATGGAAGTTTTCTATCTTTGTCAATGTCTAAATTAAAAAGAAAGTATCAGCACTGAAAACGAAGTAATATAAAGAACCTACATTGAAAGAAATCTTTAACAAAGCAAACAAGTAAATATTCAGCTTTTTTTGTAAATTTTGATTTCTTGAAGACATAAATGCTTCATTATTTCATAAAACAAATATTCATAAAATATTTTCTGTTTTTAATTTTATATTATCTACATGTCATTTTACTAGATTTAAACTGCAGATCAAATAGCAGAAAAGTCCCAAATCCAAAATTTTGAAGTTTCAATGAGTCTGGATCTTGAACTTTGTATTATATATCAAACTATTACAAAGACTTGCATCACTTAAATGAAGATTCATCGTAACTCTTAAATAAATATGCTGCATTAACAGTTTTTTGTGTAAATGAGATCTTTAAAAATATCAACTGGAAACTATTAGTGTACACAAATTATATTTTCATGCATGTTTACAAAGAAATAAAACTATTTGATATAATAAATACTTTTGTCCTCAGAAATAGAGAATAGAACAAATAATAAATAAATATGCATATAACATAATAAATATTTTACAGGAATTAAAGATTCTTAAAAAATATCTCCTTAAAATGACACTGGGAAAAAAAAAAACGGCTTTATTTAGAAACATCACAAAAGAAGATACTTCCTCTATTTTTAAACTTAATTTAATGTTAAATACAGTATATATATGTTAATGTGATTTGCTAAAATTAAAATGAGCTAAAAAAAATTAAAATCAAATTTCTTTTACATTCACTAGAATGTCAACTATTGTATTAATATATACAAGCATAGCAAATTAAAAAAACTTTTCAAAATAGGAAATATTGTAGAATAGAAGCATTTGTGCAAGGTTTAATAAAGCAGAATCAAAATAACGATACATTACTGCTAATAAAATGACATGATTTTCTACTTCATTATAATCAGTGGGCTTTTAAAATATTTTTAAGAATTATGATTATTTTACTGGAATAGTCATTCTCCTCTCTCAATTTGAATGGGAAATATCTTAAACGAATACAAGTATATTAAAGATCATGTTTTACCATTTTAGCTTTCCTCTATTCCTGGCATTTAAAAGCAATCAACTACATATTTCACTTTAATTTATTTTAATTAAAAATATTCAGTAATTTCTTACTTAAATGAAACTAAAAGTATAAAAATGTTTCTTAAATAAAGCAAATATTTTAACCAAGACTTCTATTAAGAAAACTCTAAGAGAAAACTTTTCATATTCATGATCTTAAGATGTAATTTTTATTTCAATTAAAGAATTTTGCCTAGGAACAAAAAGAACATATACAACTTCCCCCCCCCAAACAAACAAATTTCAATTTTCACTCACTAGCAGTAAAGCTCTACTTAATAATTGCAATTTATATCTAAAGTGATTAATATGACTTCCTTGAGGGGGAAAATATCAAAATATATATTTATGGGATTTTCTTAAATCAGTTACATGTACTTAGGAGGATGTAAGATGAATTAAAATATTAATACAGTTGTGAGTTAACAAATCACAATCATATTTCAATTACTATTTAAACTTAAAATGATAAAATAAAACACATTCTTAATAATATTTTATAAACAGAGGCAGTTACTGATGAATATATGTTGCAAATTTGCAGGTGGATACTCATGAGTATATGTTGCAAATTTCACTTATTTTTTATCATTTGTATTAGTATATTTAAATAATAAAGTAGAATTGTTAATAAAAAAAAATAATGTTTTAAAAACTCATACATGTATACACATATTAAAGCTGTTATCAAAGGAACAAGAGAAATGTTTTAAATATCCATAGATGTATACATATGTTAGAAAGAAATGCTATATTTCATTTTTGTTGTTATATGCTGAGCAATATTCTGGCAGATAGGTCTTGATATAATACAACTCTGCCAAATTAAAAATACAATGAATTATTTTTTTATGAATCAGAGCTTAATCAGAGTTTATGGTTCATAAAAATACTAGGCAATGTTAAAAAGTTTGAAAATTAAAACTGTTATTAGCCATATTTTTATACATGTATATTTGCTTAAGCATCAAAATAATATGTGCATAATCTTGAGTATTTTATAACAAAACCAATTCTGAACTTTAATTTTTTATCTATTTAAATTTTATCTTCTTAAAATTTCACAGTTGTCATTCTAAATTTATAGTGAATTATTTAAAGTTATATATAGCACCTAATACAATGAAAAATATAAATACAGCAGAAAAGCATATAAGATGAGCACTTAACTTTGACACAAATAAAATAATAATGCAACTAAAACAAAACATTAAATAGTCAAATCCTTACAAAACTAAAGTCAAACAAAAAATACTTTATAAAAGAACTTTCTTTTCATAATAAAATCAATAAAAAAATTGTTTTGATAGTCAAAACTTAATTATAATTATGGCAGCAAGTATTATAGCTTAAAAAAACTGAAAAATGTTAAACAGAAAATATATACATAAATGAAAATATAAAAGTAAAATACATAACAGAAAATACATAAATGAAAATATAAAAGTAAAATAAACAAATTCTATAAATATGTATCACATATTAAAACTTAGCAGATAAAATGACTAGATAATTTACAAAAAATGTCAAAAAATAATATACAGAGAAAAAATTAAAAAACTAAATAGATAAAAAATTAAAAACAACATCATTCAGTTTCAGAACAAAATCAAACATATTAAGTGTAAACATAATTGCATTAACAGAAATAAAAATTAAAAAAAATAACAAATTATAATGCTGTAAGTTTGCCAGTGAAATACACAACTAACAACTAAATTAAATATAGCACCAAAACCAAGATACTTTGTGCACCGTTTTTATAAATGATAATCAGTAATTATACAAAGTCTGAAATATATATACCAACAATAAAATAGTCAAAATATGTAACATTAAAGCAACAATCTAATTTTTTTTAAAAAAAAGTCCTCTTTCATCTTTTGCAACATTCTGAATTTAAAATGTTTAAAAATAGCAGAAAAAATTACTTTTTAATATTTCAAAATACTTCAAAGTGAAAAAAAAAATACTACAAAACAGCATCTAATCAAGTCATATAATTTAAGTTTACACTTACTTGAAAACTTTTAGCGTACAATGTACAACAAGATTAAAAGCAATTACATTAAAAACTTCATTTCATTTCTTAGATTATCATTTTAATACCAACAAGCAATTCTGCAAGAGCTTGGTGCAAAAAAAAACCGAAGACTTCATAGAAGGCTTTTGTTGTCCAAGCTATGCAGGGAACTTAGACTGTACAAGCAGATTTTTCAAACTGTTGTTGTTGAGCCAGCATTTCTAGGACCAGACTGTTGGAGGGCTTCTTCATATGTTGGAGGAGGAGTCTATAATAAATTGAATTGATAGTATGATAAGGTCGCATAAATCTACGACGAATGATTTCAAATTGCAAATTCAGAGTGCAATATACATAATGAAATCACGGGACTAAATATAATTATTTAATTGTTATTAAAATAATATTAAGTTGTAAAAAAAATAGTTGCTATTAAAGCAATATTAAATTGCTGGCAATGTTAAAAACGCAGGCTCGAGAGCCACGTATGGCTCTCGCACGATTGATGTATAGAATTTGATTTTTAAAAAAGAGATAGGTTTCTCTCTTCTGAATTGTATGCAGCCATTTTTTTTAGCATTCAATAAATATTTTTATGCTATGTTTTGTTTTCAACCTGATGTCACAACCCAGGGTTTGCATAGCGGTTTCGGCCACTACACCACAATAGTTATATTATTAAGAAATCACAAAATAAAGACTAATATAGAAATTTCTACCTAAGATACACTAATTATTAAAAGATTGCAACACAGAGTAGCAATGGCATTAAAATTTACAATTTGAAGAGGGAAAGGAAATTCTAATTTTAAAATGGAATTTTACTTAATTATTACATATCTAATAATGAAGGGGTATATGTAAAAAAGCATATAACCATTTTTGAGGTTTTTGCACAGTGATGCACCTTCTTATATTCAAGAAATATTAGTACCACAATATATATCCTTCTTAACAAATAAAACATAAACAAAATAATAAAATTTATTATTAATGTTATTTGGATGTCTTCCTTTAGAAACAGGCCTATAACCACAAAAGTCTCTATAAATCAGATTCGGAGCATCTTGCTAGCCAACATGATTGCAAACTGATCAGCCCATATCAAGCTGTCTGGTTGTAATGAAAGTTTTCTGACAAAAAAAACATTCCTAATAAGTTTAGGAGAGGGAAAAAAAAAACATGAAAGCAGTACCTTTATTGCGGGTAGTAATAATTACCCAAATCTATGATTTTCTGGCAATGTTTTGGTAGTTTTTCAGAGACTTCGGCCAAGAAACTTGGTGGCCGCAAGTCCGAAAACAGATCAAACTCATTTTGAACGTTCTGTGCAGAATGGAAGACAGCACCAGCTAGATGTAGATGCAGGCGTGAAAAAAGGTAAAAATCTGAAGGAGCGATGTCGGGGCTATATGGTGGTTGTGGCAAAAGATTCTACTGGAGTCCAGCTGACACACACAGTCCAGCTACACAGTCCAGCTGACAAATGCAGACACATGTGGTCTTTCATTATCTTGATGGAATATTACCTTTTTGCACCACAACTCAGTTCAACATTTACCCTTGATAGCAGCGTCAATATAGACTAGCATCTCACTGTACACCTTACTCTTGAGGGCTTTACCCTTTTCCAGATCTTTGTGGATAATACCACAGCAATCCCACCAGATACAAAGCGTAATCTTTTTGTTAGTCAAATTGAGCTTTGCAAATTTGCTGACGGGCTATTCGGATGCAAAGCAACCCCCTTTTTCAGTCTGTGTTGTTGAAGTAAATCCATTTTTCATCACAAGTAACGATCTGGTTCACAATTTTGTCCTTGTGTTAACAGAGCAGATTAGTGCAGGCTCGAATACATCTGTCCTTATCTGCTTGAGTCAGATCATGCGGCACCCATCGATTGAACTTGTATGTTATTCATGAGATGCATAGCATGAACTAATGGACATTGCACTAACTCCTAAGCAAGCTCTCTCAGGTGGTGGCATACTGATCTTCTTCCATAAGTTCTTGCAGGCAGGCCTCATCAACATCAGTATGCCGGCCAGAGCACTCTGTTTCTTGAATGTCAATAACATTCAAGTCAGTAACAACTTTAGTCTAATGTCAATAACAGCATTAGTCTAATGTCAATAACAACATTAGTACCTAAGCAATACACATGATTTGGTGTCATTCTGTAGCTGACTTTTTGCAAAAGAAATGTAAGTAAATCATGATTCTAATCTGGTAGCATGATAGTTCCATTTAAGACACATTTTTTTTACAAATTTCACAATACAGTGTTCTTAAGCAAGTCTCCCTCTTTCAAATGCCAAAAATCATTTAACAAAATATGATTAAATACACCAACGTGAACTATTTATGCAGACAATATTTGTGGTGAAGGGAAACTTTCATTAAAACCCAATATTAACAATCTTCCATAATGGAAGCAACAGATTATATGATTAATATAGTTTCCAAAGAAATTACAAAACTAAGCAGAGAGAAAAGAATTCTTGATGATAAAAGGTAAACTAAGAAGCAATGGGTTTGGAAAAAAAAAAAAAAAAAAACTATAGAAATAATGACATCATTCCAGTAGTTAAAAGCAATTCCATGTTATCAATTAAAGTCTTGTAAGCATTCATGCTTGATGAAGAACTGAGACAATTACTAAACAGCTCAATTAGCGAGAAGATTGCAATAGACAAAACAAATATTTATTTAAAATGAAAAGTGAAGGGGGGGGAAAAAGGCTATGCAAAATTCCAGTTCATCAAATAAAGTTTTTATGGTCATTTCATTCACCAATGCTACTAGCAAAGCTAAAAAAGTTATTAAAATATATTTTCAATTGTCAGTGTCACATCAATGAATGTTAAAAAACGGTTTAACGCATGAATTAACATGAAGAAATCTGAAGAAAAAGATTATATCTGTGTACATTTCACATTTCACTGATCATACCTACAGAAACTAGATTAAGGTAGCCTGACATAAAAGATAATCTCATTAAACATTTTCTAAATATATACAGCACACTATAACATAACATATAACAATGCTTCAACATATATCTTAAAATGTTTGATAGCTGAAATATTACTTATTACAGCATTTCTCAAACTTTTTTCAAGCGGACACTACTTTTATAAATTAGAATATTCTGTAGACCATCTTACTCTTGTCTTCTTCAAAAGAATTTTTTTACCATATACTTATTTAATATCAGTATACTTGTTTTTTTAATACAAATAAAAATTCATTAAATTTTACATTAATATTAAGTTATCAGAAGAAAATTTAAATTCATTTTTAATAAAGACAGTAACATAACATTTAAGTGTTTATTGCTTCTCCACTTATTAACAATATTTAAATGTTTATTGACAATTAGCTCCAATTAGCATGCATTTAATATATTTCAATTTAATTTCTTATCTCCAGTTCCCTTTGCAATAATGAATAAAATTAATGTGTCTCATAAAAAACTCAACATTTCTGTAACGCCCAGATATAACAGTTTCGCTAACCTTTATACTCTTTCTAAATTTCATAACACACCAATAGAATTCAAATTCGTAACAAATCACACTAATAATTATGAGAAAAATATAGACTATATATTTGCACAACTACTTAAAAAAGATCTGTAACTTAATATTTACTACTTGTGACAGAGAACATCATTTTTGTTGGATTATCAATAATAACATTCCTATAATTATTACCTTCCAAAGTATCAGCATACAAAATATTAGTTGCTATGACTTTGAAAAATATATATTCCCCCTCCCCATTAGAAGAAATATTTACTAGCCTTCTTGAACTTCCAAAACTCTTTCCTACAATTCTCACTATTCTAGACTTTAATAAATGGTAAAACCTCCTTCACTGCACTATTTTTAATAATTACATTAAATTACTAATAAATAAATTAAATAATAATAAAATTAGTAACATAAATTTGGATCAACTTTTTAAACAAGTATGGTATACCAATGGGAGGTCATATGTCTCTGAGTATTTGTAATCTCTTTTTGTTTATTCAAGTATTTAAATTTCAAAAAACACTACAACAACAAGATTTAACTTAACATGTGCATACTTTCAAATACAATGATGATCATCTCATCACTTCAATTATTTTAACGAAATAAAAAATTCCCATATTTATTCCCAAGAGCTTCATTCTTACTAAAATTAATTTTTCAGAAAACATTATCGAATTCCTAGATCTTAAAATAGTTAACTACATACATGTAAAGCTCTATGACAAAACCAGGAACTTCAAACTTGCAACTAATAAATTAATTAATTGGACTTCAAACATTTTCAGAAAAGTAATTAGTAAAAATACATATGTTAGATGTTGGGTGAATAGCTAATGAAAATTTGCAAGAACGGGAAATTCTACTAGAAATATCTGAGAAAACAAATTTAAAGAAAAAAATTTATTTCTAATGATTATATTGCAAATGAGTGCAACATTGAAAATTTATCCAAAAATTGTTTCTTTTTTCACCTAAGAAATACATTATCAGACCAAGACACTTTCAAATGCATTTTTGAAATACAAGAAAGCATAAAATTACTTGTAATTTTTCAATGAGATTAAAAATTATCTAAAACATTTCTAGAATACATAATTTAACAAAAAAAGACAATAATTTGATTATTTTTTTAAGAAACAAATATTTTCAACATACAGTAAGCACAAACAATTTTATCTTTATTCCACTTTATTTTTTTTTTAATTTTTATTTTAGAAATTCATATTGTCTTAAATTTATTGAATAATATAATTTGAATTTAATATATTGTTTTCACTGCCAATGTTTATTTGATGATAAAATGAACAGTAATTTGTTATGATGCCATGCAAAGTATCTTCTTGCAAAGTCCTAAATTTACACAACTGCTAAGAATATATTGAATTCATTTCTGCTGCAGAGACCATTCATTATTTCCTGTGAGATGCAGGATGCCATTATAATGAGCACTGACTATATATACATACGGTTTATTTTATGTCATTTAAAAGTAATCGCACTTACAACAACATAATCTTCATCGCCTAATGTTCCAGGTGTAGGAGGTGCAGTAGAATTTCCATCTAAACAAGCAAAATCTCCTGAAAAAGTAATAAAATAATCAGCCATGGCAGTGCTTAACAATAACAAAAATATCATAATTATGAATGTCTCCTGTTTTAAGATTGTTTTTAAAGAACCAATTACATATTCACATAAACTTTATCAATATTTCATTTGCTGAAAACAGTACCTCCACATGGAGATGTAACACTGAACTGTGAATCAGAGTATGGTTGACTCTGGGAAGGAGCACTTGTGGTGCTGAAGCCTAAATCTGGGGAGAATTGTGAATCTCTTTCATTGCTACAGCCTGGGCGTGTCCACTTTTTCCTAAAATATATAAAAGATGTCAGAATATCTAATATCAATTAAAAATGTACTGATCTTCAGAATAAGGTAAAACGCAGATTTGAAAACTCAATTTAAGGAGAAAACAAATAAGAAAATTTCATTTAAAACTTAAACCAGAACTTAGACAGAGATGCTAGCTACAAATGAAGAGACAGGTTCCATTTAAAATGTAAAATCAGATTTAAAAAAAAAAAAAAAAAAAAAAAAAAAAAAAAAAAAATTGGTATAGCGCTTGTATAAAACTTAAATTTATGCAGGAAAAAGAAAATAGTTTGGCATAAATTAACAAAAATTTAAATGGAAAGTATAAAAGCTATAACTAATCTATTTTAAATCTTTTTTAGCCTTAAGCCTGAAAAGATCTAAATGCTCAAGTCAGCTTGTCCTGTAAGAACCCAAGATGCAGGAAACAATAAGCCTCCCCCACCACCCCTAAAATCGTCATACACTATTTTCTAACCTCTCACTATGCAACTCTGCAAGAGGTAATTTTTCGTAATTCCACCATAAAGTGGGCTTTAATTTTGTTGTTTTATAGTCAGCATAGCTTCATTGTGGCAGGATTACTTTTGCTATCATTTGAAAATATCAGATTTCTTTGACGGGTCAGTGAAAATGGGGGAAAAAATCAGTATAATTTTACAAGAAATTTAAGCTATTACAACAATTTAACTGTATTTTGCAATTATGCTACAGTAGTAAACAATAAATAATCTACACTTTAGCCATAGCATATCTTTAGGTTTGTAACAGTGCGATCTGTGTAAGCTTTAAGTTGGTACTAAAGTGGTTATGTAATTAAACTGTGTCTTGATTACACTATTCTTCTTGCTACTGTAACAATGTAAATATGGCATCTCTGCTAACAGTTTGCATCATGGAAGAACAAAGAACAGAGATCAGATGTCTCTTGTTTGAAGTTGGTCAGAAGCAAAATTTCATAGAGGCTTTCAGTGAATACATAGGTCGACAAGTTTGAAAGCAAAAAGATAAGCAAGATGTATAAAGAGGGAATAGCAAGCATGCTTGTCACAATGCTATGTGATGCAGAAATTCAGGAAGCTTGAAGGATGGTACTGGCAGAGTGGAAAGTCACCATCAATAATGAGGCAGCATGTATTGGGCAGATCAGCCATGGTTCTGCCAATCAAAACATTGCTGATGAACTAAGTTTCCATAAAATCTGAGTAAAATGGGTGCCAAGAGAGCTTACTGCAAAGAATAAGACCACGGGAATCAGTATCCATTTGCGTTTTTGAGAAGCCAGAACAGCCTGTCTATGGCTATGACAATACTCAACCCTTTCTCAACGGTCATCTCTTTGGAGTACTTAAAGATGTTTTTACTAGGTCACTGATTTTCAATAGATTAAGAAATGTAAGCAGCAGTACATAAAATGGTTGCACAACTAATTGAAAACATTCTTGAAGAAAATACGCAAGCCTGCGGACTATTAAATGAAAACCATCACAAAGGAAGAAGATATGTAAACAAATAACACACTTGTCAAATCCTACTTTTATATAAATAAATTGAAAAATTAAGACTTTTTTTTTTTTTTTTTTAATTTTCCCTCATGTTTTATACAATGCAAATTCTTTGGCATTTAAAGACTGAAAAATATAAATAGATAGGCATACAGCTTTTAAATATTTAATTGATGAATAAATATAATTAAAAGGGGTTAAACTTGAACTGCTGGTGTGTCCCCAATTTTATAAAAAAAATTATGCCAGGCCAAGTTTGTTCTCTCCATCTAACTTTATACCTACTAACTATATAAGAAATTATTATATAAACCGAAAATATGCTATATTTTATAAGCATATATAAATATTGAATAATTTATATAAATATCAAATAAGTTCTACAGAATATTAAAACTTTTCCAAGTAGATGAATCATTTAACAAGAAAATTTATTGCTATATCTGTGGGGAAAATTTAAAATAAAAAAATGATCAAATTTTATCTGTATAACCTGTGACGTCTCAATGTTCAAGAAGACTGATCCAACTATATCTGTGTAATCCACCCTGATCTATGTAATACTGGAAAAAGACAGTATGAGAACTTGAAAACTTAAACTATTTTATATTTATGTTTAATCGGTTAGAACAAAGCCCATAAAGGCTACCTGCCTAAGGAATATCTTTTAAAAGGACTTTCCAAAGGAAATTAACTTAAATTTACTTCGCAAACAATTTAAAATTTCAGTTTGTACTATCTATGTTCTGACTTGATACATACAGTGTTTTTCAATATATACTTTTTTTTAAACTGAGGTTTCAAAAATTTTCCATCATATATGAAAACATATGATAAAAGGTGAATTTTAAATAACTTCATTTTTAGCACAATGTGCTATTTCTAAAATTTTTATTCTAAATAAAACATTTATTCCTTTTAAGAAAAAGGGCTGCTACTATATCTGTTACTTTCCTCAGCCATTTAATTCAAACGAAAGGTGTGAAAATAAGTTGAAATAGTCCATAAATGCAACCAGAGAAAAAAAAAAAAAATCAAAGTTTTAACAACATGATAAAGATTACTTTTGCAATTTTCTGCTTAAAAAAAATAATAATTTGCATCTATATTATAACTGGTTAAATAAAAAGGTAGTTTTAGGGATTATTATCTCAAATGATCAAATAATGATCCTAATATCAAATTTCTCAAAATATCCTGATCAAAATTATGTTTCATACCTTCATGAAATAAAAACAATTTTTATATTTTAAGATATAAAGGGAGGCTGCCACATATTAATAAAAATATAGAGAAATTATCTTTTTGTACCTTACAAGCTGCAAAATTCCAGCAAAACATGCAAGTAGAGCCAAACCCCCAGTTAGACACCCTAAAACAATATGCACAGGATCCAGACCACTGAATATGTGCACAAAATATGGTTCCACTTCCGCTAGTGGAGCTAAAAAAATAAAATTATTATAATTAACATTTTTGCTGTACTACTACTTGCAAGAAGCGTTTATAAGTATCATTAATTAAAAAATACAGGATAATGATTGAATAAAATGAATATCAGTAAATAAACTATTTTAAACAAACAAATGTATGAAAATGAATAAATTTATACTGTGTTAAAATAATTTTTTAACTATGAAATAGTTAAATAATTGATTACAATAAATTGCAATGCAATTAAACTTTAAAAAAATGTACACGTAAATTGCAAAATTTTTTAATAAAATATAATAATTTTATCATAGTATTAGAATGGAATAAAATGCTGGCTCAGCAAAAATATAATAATACAGTGATAAATAATTGGCATTTATTAAAAAAATACCCTTTAATTACATCAAATTTAAATAAAGCTAATAAAATCTTACTCTTTATGCACAGTTTCACACTGCTGTTTTCGTGCATTTCATATTCATATCCAGCAGTACACTGGCACCTTAGAGACCATTTGCTGCATATGACATTTTGATCTGATTTTCTACATTGTGCATTCACTTGGCAGTATTCTCCCATTCCAACATCTTAAAAAAAAAAAAAATTTTTTTTAATCAGCTTTATCACAGCATGATAAATTTTAAAAATACTACTAAGCATTAAAATGTTATAATTTTTCAATTAACTATAAAAATTTTAATAGAAACTATTCTTAAGCCACAGACTGAAATTATGCAAATTACACTCGATTCAATGAACAACAGTTACAACTCTTAAGTCACTAACTGAAACGAAAGCAAATCTTACATGGCAAACAGTGATGATGCATTTTCATACGAACATGTCCTTCAGCACAAGAGCACTTGCCTGTTTGGTTATCACACATCACGTTTCCAGTAATATTGCTACAGTTATTTACTGAGCAAGGAACATCAAAGACTGCAAATTAAATGATGAAAATATATATATATATACATAATGTTATTAAAGATGACAGCATGTAATTTAATTTATAATCCTTAATTTACATTTTTACTATAGGAAATTCTACATTAGACATTCAAAACTTTTTGCTTAAAGTAGTACAAAATATTATTTTCATTTAAATTTTATATAACAGATTAACAATCTGAGCGGTGCAGGACTTTAGATCCGTCATGAAGACTGGTATTTAAACAGCATTTATTAATTGAGTTTGTTTAATTACTTATTTTGGTTTGTATTTTCATACACTTACATTCATTAAGACAATATTTATATTATTAAAGAAAGTGTAAAAGCAAAATATCTTAAATTATAAGCCAATATACATCAAATAGCAAAATTTCTGATGACCAGATAAAGCCGATGATAACGCTCAGAGAATTAATTAGTTCCATTCAAAACTTTCTGCTTACAGCATTACAAACTATTATTTTCATTTAAATTTTATATAACAGATTAATTAGTTCCATAAGAACAAATCTTAAATATTTAAAATTATATATAAATGTTAAAAAAAATAAGGAAGAACAACTAGATATATAGTTAAAATTATAAAAATTATCAACAATGAAATAATTACAGATGTATAATATTAAAATACAGATAAAAAATATTTTGAAAACTGAAATTTAAAATGTGTTCTTGATTGCCAATTGTTAAATTTTTAATAGCCACCACAAACGAGACAAAATGCAACATGGTATGCTAATTATTAATGCATTTCACTTTTATTTTTTGATGCAAAATATATAAAACCAAAAACAAGTTTTATTACTTGCAGTTTATAATTACTAAACATGCAATCTATTTGAATCTATTTTTTTAACAACTAAATAAAAATGTTTACTTGTCTCAATCTATTCTTCTCTTTGTTTAAATATAAAGGGCTGTCCCCACTACGGTTTATCTGAGCTAACAGAGACAACTGACATAGCCGATGCATTTTTCTTTACCAATTTTTCCACCTAGCGAGTTGAAAAGTCTGAACTGCATGTATAGTGGAGCTAGTTGACACATGGAACTGACTCCGTTAACTCAGATAAAATTCAGTGTGAATGACCCTTAACTGTCACTGATAATGCAGTATTTTTTTTAAAGGAAAGTATTCACATCCCAAATTACATTTTTAAAATAAATAGCAAATAAACTGCTGATCTCAGGAAGAACACAAAATATAGCTAGTTACTTTTATTATGACAAATGCAATTAAACGAGCACATAAATTCATTTAACTCTATCTAATCTCTTCTTTGTTTAAATAAAACTATCACTGATAATTCAATATTTTTTAAAGGTAACTATTCACATAAAAACTACATGTATAAAAATAAAAAGCAAACAAACTGCTGATAGCAGGAAAAATTATCTAAAATCATTACCTGAACACAAAACGTATCTAGTTACTTTTATTATAACAAATGCAGTTAAATGAGTACATACAGAACTTCAGTAAATAGATGTCTCAAAAGCAGAGCTTTGTCAAAGAAAATTTCCTTGCCACTAAAGAATTCTTTATAGTTGCCATATTACTTAGCATGTTTTATACACATTAAACACATTTACATGAAATAATACTACTTTAATTATTTAATTACTTACTGCTAAATTCACATGAAATACCACTACTTTAAGCTGAATATACAGCTTATGAGCTACATGAGCTGCCATAATAATTTGCATTCTATATTAATTGATATGATATTTTAAACATCAAGGACAGAAACAAGTTATTTTCTTTTAGATAGTTTAGATATTTCCTTTCTTTTCATTAGATATACTTTAACCCTCTGAGCAGCATGGGTTTTTGGATCTGTCATGAAGACCTATATTCAAAGCCTCTTTATTAGCTAAATTTGTATATTTACTTACTTTAGGCTCTATTTTCATAAACTTACATTTATTAAGATGATACTTATATTATTAAAGAAAGTAAGAAAGCAAAATATTATAAATAATAAGCTAATATATAACAAATGACAAAAAATCTCATGACCGGATAAAGCCGGCCATAACGCTCAAAGGATTTAAAATACTTTACCAAAATATGTGGTAAAATGAAGATTTTTAATTTCTTATGGAGTCTATTATTTCAATTTAATGTTGTTTATCTACAAAAGTGCATAATTATGTTATTATTCTGTCCCTGGTAATATTGGTGCATAATACACTGACAATCAAATCCTGGTAATGGCCAAAAATTGTTGGTGTCTAAGCAATCATAGTTGATT